TTCACTTCACATTACTCCAAAAAATGAAATCACACGTGCATACCCGTTTCTGACTTTTACAAGATTGGAAACTGTGTAAATTGCTCATGCGGAAAGGAACATAAAAAATAAATTGGTAACAAAGTGAGAGAAACAAAGAAATATATTATAACAATAAAAAAGGATTCCTGGGGCTTTAGACGTAAAATGGCTGAGATAAAGTAGAAACTCTATGGACTTGGTCTAGCATTCCCTCATTGTTAGCTCACAGAGTGTCAGTCTGGAAGTCATTAGCTAAAAGTTTCATTTTAATGACAGATATATGAATACTTTGGGAGGTGAAGAGAGGGAAGGCTATCTGCTTATTATGTAATACGGGCATTGGATTCTGTGATGTAAGAAGGATTTTCTATAAATTTTGACTAGTTTATAAGCAGTGGTCTCTATGGAGCTGGACTTTGGATGGATGAAGAGCAATATGATTTAAAGGAATAGTTCACCTGAAAAAAAAGACAAAATTTGGTGTTAATTTACTCACCACCGAGCTAACGTTTTTTGTTTAGTAGTTCATAAAGAAATAAACCTTAGTCTTTAAAGGGTTAGTTCACCTAAAAGAAAATTTGCTCACCATTTCCTCACCCTCAAGTGTTTCTAAACTTTTTTAAATGTCTTTTCTGCATTGAAAACAAAACAAGATATTCTGAAATTGACTTGCATTTTAGGAACAAAAAATACTATTAAAGTCAATTGGTGTTTTTTTTTTCCAACATTTTTCGGCATATGTATTCTGTATCTTCCTTACTGTTCAACAGAAGAAAGAAACCCAAGCAGGTTTGGAACAAGTGGAAAAAGAATAAATGAAGACAGGAATATAGTTTTGGTATAAACTATCCATTTATTTATTCATCCATTTAGTTTCCTTTGCCTTAGTCCCTTTATTCATCCAGCCGATTCGAATGTTCTCACTCGATTGAATGGACGTTGTCAGTGGTTATCAGCTGATAAATATGGACACTTAGAGGCCTTCTGTGCCTACTACTATTATATAATGACAAAAGTGTTGAGGTCTCGGTGCCACTCTGCAATACATTTTATTTTATTTATTTTATCTGCAATACATTTTATTATTTTATTATAAATATTAATTTTTATTTACATTAATATTTTAAACCGGTTTCTATCAGTGTATGCACACTGCACTGCAAGTCGGCGGCTTACCGCAGCGCCTAGCTATTTCTGCTGCGCAACAGAGCGCCATCTGAATAGTTTCAAATTAAATAACATTCAAATGTGTGCATTTGGTATGTGATACTTCCAACTGTCATGTGTGGTATGTGATACTTCCAACTGTCATGTGTGTGTCATGTTGTGGCACATCCGGTGTGCGACGCGCTTCAGAGTCTGAGGATGATTAAATTATCTGCAAATTTACATTTTTTTTTTGCATGAATTGTTAAATGCTATCTCGTGACAATTTATAACTTTTTGATTTAGTGGCTTATTCCTATGAAATCATATGATCTCGTTCGTACAGTTTGGAATGATTTGCTTAACCACCAATGACAGTTGGGTTTAGGGGTGGGGTTGGGTGCCACGCCTCCTTTTAAAAATTGAACATTTTCATGCGACTGAACTCATATGAATTTGTTTGAATTAGCCACTAAACTGACAAAACGTACAATAGTTACTTTCCTTGTGAGATCAGGCTGGATTGTTTGGATATGTGAATCAAAAATTGGTACAGGTAAATCTTTTGAAATTAACTTATTCACCTTATTCTCAGCTGTCGAGCGGGCGCTGCCATTTGAATCTTTTTGTCTCGCGACTTCCGGTCACATTCACTTCCATTCATTTTTTGAAGTTAACAACTGCTCGTTACGCTGCTTGATGTTGCAATTTAATATTTTCTTATTATATTATGCTACTTGGTCTGTGTAGTCATGCAAACATTTGTTTGTTGAGCAAGTAGTTTGGCCATTTTCTGCCGTTTATTATCCTAGTCATTTCTCCCATAGGCGACTGAATCGGAAGTTCTAAGACAATCGCGAAAACAGGCGCACTTCCGCATTTTAGAATAAGGTCAATATACAGAATATGCGATATATCGGTTTGTTTATATATATATATATATATATATATATATATATATATATATATATATATATATATATATATATATGTATATATGTATACAGTTGAAATCTTAATTAATAGAGCCCCCCTTAATTATTAGCCCCCTGTTTATTTTTTACCCCAATTTCTAGAAACATTTTTTAGCACATTTCTAAACATAATAGTTTTAAAAACTCATTTCTAATAACTGATTTATTTTATCTTTGCCATGATGACAGTAAATAATATTTCACTAGATATTTTTCAAGACAACAACATACAACTTAAAGTGACATTTAAAGGCTTAAATAGGTTAATTAGGTTAACTAGACAGGATAGGGTAATTAGACAAGTTATGGTATAATGATGGTTTGTTCTGTTGACTATTAGAAAAAAAATATGTAGCTTAAAGGGGCTAATCATTTTGTCCCTAAAATTGTGTTTAAAAAATTAAAAACTTATTTTATAATGTGTATATAATCTGGTCATCACTAACATTCCACCTCAAAACTGAAACTCATTTTATTAAAAAAAAAAATAAAAATTATTTAATTTTTTTTATCTTTATTTACTAAAATGTTGGTTTTATTTCCCTTGCCGTAATATGTGTTTAATAGTTTTCCATGTATTTCTTGCTGAAGATGCTTATTAATGATGATTATTAATTCTTTCAGAGATTGCAGTTATTTATTGTCTGGACAAGAAGTGGTCAAAATGCAACAAGAAAAAAAATCAGAGACTAATGATAAAGGCTTTCCTGAAGATTTGCTTGAAGTCTGAAACATTGGACCAAAAGCAGGATTGGTAAACTTCTAAGTCACCCCATGGGAAAAGACTTTTGGTCAAATGTCCATCTGTCCAAGTCTTTTTGTTAGGTATAAGTTAACTCCCACAGTGATCAATTTGTGTTTATCAAGCAGCTCAGAAAACGTAATTGCAATGACATGACCTTTCCTCTGCATCAAAGTACTAATGAACATAAATAAGCCATTTTAAAGTTTATGAATGTTTTTAATGTTAAAAGCAAAGCCAAGCATGTAAGTTATGGCTACACATAAAAAGGTAAGCTCATGATCATATGATGAATGTGCTTTGGCAGGCAACCTTGTTCTGTGTGCGTTATGTAATTAACAAGGAACTTTAGTCGAGAGCTGATTATAAAACAAACATCTTGGCAAAACAGCACCAGAAACTGTTTGACAGTAATTTAAACTCCATGGACACATCATTTCACTCAGAGGAAGGAAGAATTATTATTGCGCTCACTCTAATCAGGCACTTAAAAGAGGGCAGGACTCACGGGGATACTCTCTCATTTCAGGCATACACAGGATATAATGTCATTTCCAGCATATAGTAGAAAAATATACAATGATGTCAGCCTTTAACCCTCTGCTGAGGCCAGGTTTTGCAAGAACTCGCTCTGATTTGTTTCCCCTAACACATATTGTAAACATGTACATCATCTGTCTCATCTGTTGTAGTATATCTGCACTTTATGTGCTTCTCGGAGATGTTCCCGCACAACTGACATTGATCGAATGTCTACCTTTGTGTTTTCAGACAGGGATGGGGCATATTTTCAAAGGAATGTAACGCTCTTGAGAGAGCAAGTCAGATTAAAGTCACACATTTTATATGGTGACTGCCACGTTGTGCTGTTCATCATTACTACTCTGGAATTTAAAATGTGTCTATTCATGTCCACCTGGATATACAGTTGAAGTCAGAATTATGATATCTATCTATCTATCTATCTATCTATCTATCTATCTATCTATCTATCTATCTATCTATCTATCTATCTATCTATCTATCTCTCTATCTCTCTATCTATCTATCTATCTATCTATCTATCTATCTATCTATCTATCTATCTATCTGTTTATCTGTCTTTCTGTCTGTCTGTCTGTCTGTCTGTCTGTCTGTCTATCTGTCTAGTTGTCTATCTGGCTGTCTATTTGTATGTCTGTCTATCTATCTATCTATCTATCTATCTATCTATCTATCTATCTATCTATCTATCTATCTATCTATCTATCTATCTATCTATCTCTCTATCTCTCTATCTCTCTATCTATCTATCTATCTATCTATCTATCTATCTATCTATCTATCTATCTATCTAGCTATCTGTTTATCTGTCTTTCTGTCTATCTGTCTGTCTGTCTGTCTGTCTGTCTATCTGTCTAGTTGTCTATCTGGCTGTCTATTTGTATGTCTGTCTATCTATCTATCTATCTATCTATCTATCTATCTATCTATCTATCTATCTATCTATCTATCTATCTATCTATCTATCTATCTATCTATCTATCTATCTATCTATCTATCTATCTATCTATCTATCTATCCATCCATCCATCCATCCATCCATCCATCCATCCATCCATCCATCCATCCATCCATCCATCCATCCATCCATCCATCCATCCATCCATCCATCCATCCATCCATCCATCCATCCATCCATCCATCCATCCATCCATCCATCCATCCATCCATCCATCGGTCTGTCTGTCTGTCTGTCTGTTTCCATCCATCCATCCATCCCTCTGTCTGTCTGTCTATTTATCTGATCTGTTTTTGTTTAATTGTGTCTGTCTGACATTCTAATGGATAATATTGACTAAATACCGGAGAGAAATTATAAAATAATTCTATAAAAAATCTGATAACACTGCATAGATAATTTTTAACAAAAACATACTTTTTTTTTTCTTTTTGGTGTAAAGTATCTGGCACTTGTCCAGCAACACTTCTTTTCTATTTCTTTACAATATAAACTTGACCTCATTCTTGGTCTTCTCACATACCTATCCACATATTTAGGTCTTCACCCTCACCCAACAGCCCGCGGCTGCATTAGCTAATGAAAACTGTCCTGACGTGCTGTCACATCAACAACCCAAACCTCTCCAGTCCAGCGCAACCCGCCTCCAGCCTCGCCAAACCCTCCCATCTGAAACCAAATATGCGCACCCCTCATGATAAAATTCAAGAGAGATCAGTTATGAGGAGGGAGACCGTGAGTCCGGCATCATCTGGATTTATCACGTACCAGCTTTTGGAACATAAAGACATTGTTCAGCAACACCTCATGATTGACTGCATTTCCCTGTGAACCGCGTAACCCAGCTTAATGCGCGAATTTTAAACTTTGCGCTTGGAGGACCCGTGGCATCTCCAAGTTTTACGCAATGAATTTCTAATCACTGGCGTGGGTTTACCATTGTGGAACTGACTGAGGAGTAAAGCGTTATTTTCATCTTGTATATATATTTTCAGTTTTGCTATAATCCCAGTGTGCACCTTCATTCGGGTAAGTGGGGTGCTCGTCACTCTTGATTCTTTATATGAAGTCCAAACAAGTGGTATTGCGTTCTGAAAAATATGTTATTTTGTGTTTGAATAGTGTTAGAGTTTTCATTGATTGTTTTCACAGACTCAAAAGTTATATTACAATGTGTCAAGTGTGGCAAAGCGTTGACGTGGTAACCATAGCAGCACGTACCGCTGATAGATGCTCTTAGATTCTTCAGTATTACGTTTACAAACCATTATATGGTATTTGCACACCACTAAAGCGTTAATAAAAATAAGCTGACTATATCCAGGGTGCCAAAAGACAATTCTGGTTGTAGGATGTGGATTATGGAAGTCCTTAATAGAAGTACATTTCAACCTTTTCCTAAAACAGAATGCGTTTGAGTTATAGCCTAACAAAGTCGTTCACAGACTTTGAAACAGAGTCCTTCATTGTGTTTGGCGAATATTATTAGTAGTTGGTCTGGGGGTAGGCTACGAGTAAGCTAAAAATAATGTATTTTAATTGTAGGTGTTCAGCTGCCGTGGTATATGTATTTTTAACGTCAAACAAACAATATTTGTGACACACAGAAGAATGATTCTCCGAAGATGTTTCCGATTGTTGGCCCTTTTGCTTCTGTTCACCTCTGTTAAATCTCAAGGTAATACTGTTTGTCATTATAAATATTTATTTTATGTCGAAATTCTATGTTACAATGTATAATTGTTGTATGTTATTTTTTTTACACCATACTTTACTATAGCAGTCCTATAATGTGGTTTAGACCAAGGTACAAATAGTTGATAAATAAAATATCAACATTAATTTACATTTAAACAAGGAAAAGAGTGTTTTATGTTCTGTACACAACTTTCAGTTCATACAGTGCTGATCATATAAGTACACCCCTCACAAATCTATCTTTTAAATTTATATTTTAATGGGAAGTTATACAATATTATTAAGTTATAATATATTATTATGTGCACAAATACATTAGATTAGCCAGGACTGAAGCCAAATCTGAATCTAAAACTAGTACACCTAAATTTACATGTTATAGAAAATTTTTAAATACAATTATATATTTTAAAAAAAGGTAAATCAAAAAAAAAAAAAAACTTTTTGTTTAAATTTTTATATGTTTTTTGTAATATTTGACTTGAATTTAATTGTATTATCTTTTAATTTTCTAAACAAGTTTGGTCACTAAAATGTTATTTTAATGAACATCTGTTTAATAAATCTGTTTTGTTTAAATGCCCCAAAATACATTGCCTATATTCACTGAGAAAAGGAGAAAAATATCCATTTCAGACTCAATTATGCTGAGCGCTGTATGTTATACATCTTTAATCACTATTTGGCATCATTATTATTAACAAATAGGTGTACAATATTATTCTACCTATATAGATTCTATTTTGCTCAGTATATAAAGACTCAGAGTTCATGTCAATTCCATGTACCCATAATGTGTACCTAGTGCCTATATAATATTTAATTACTCATGTAAATCATGTATTTTTTTTTTTTTAGATGCACAATTGGAAGATGAGACCATATTTGACTTATTTGAATCCAGTGGGATCACACGCAAGACCATCGGAGTGAAGCTTTTTAAGGGTCTGGACAGCGATGCTCCAGCATATCGCTTCATCCGTTTTGACCAGCTGCCCTCTGTCAGCTCCACAGCGCTACAACAACTTCTTCTGCAAATACAAAACAATGAAGGCTTCATTCTGACAGCCACATTGCGCCAGGACCGTACATCTCGTGGCACCATTCTTGCACTGGAAGGCCCAGGAGAGCGCAGGCAGCTTGAGATTGTTTCAGATGGCAGAACCAACACTCTAGATTTGGTGTATTGGTGGGCCGATGGCTCTCGCAACGTGATTTCGTTTGAGGAAGTAGACCTCTCGGATTCACAATGGAAAAATATAACACTCTATGTGCACGGGGAGACAGCAACTTTGTACATTGGTTGTGGACTCATTGATAGCTTCATTCTTGATGAACCTTTCTATGAACACCTTAGTGCAACTGGCGCCAGTATGTTCGTGGCCAAAGGGTCCACAAGAGAAAGCCATTTTAGGGTAGGTTTGATGTCACATTATTCGGAAAAGTTCATGCAGTGGATTTTAAAGTCAAGCTAGAACTGTAACTAATTCATTTTTGCTCAATTTTGTCAGCATTAGTAGTTGCAGAGAGTGCCAAGCAAGTTGCTGGAAACTGTGTAATAAATTACCACTGATCCTCTAGTGTTCTGTTAATTCAACCCAACTTCCCAGTCCTGGGAGATATATGTGAATGGTTGAAAATTGGCAAGGTTAGCCTAACAGCAGCTGTTGTTTCTTTCAGGGCTTGCTGCAGAATGTACGTTTTATCTTTGACACCCAGCTTGAGGACATTCTGGAGAGCAGGGGATGTGATCTTGGAAACCCAGGTAGGAGGAGCTTGTGAGCCTTAACATTCTTTAACATTTTCAGCCAGCCAAAATAAAACAAAAAAGAAAGATTTGTGGGATTAAGATGGAGATCCTGCTTAATGGGAACTGCGGTACGAAATGCTTTACTCACAGAAAGGGAGATTTCCTTCAGTGCCTTGGTGAAAAAGAAGTACACTTAAATATATTACAAATGTACTTGAAATGTAGAGAGTATGTTTAAAGCACCATTAGCACAAATAACAAAGTGCATTGTTAATGTATTTGGTTGCAATTTTATGTTATTTTATTTTTCAGTACACTACAAGTACTTATGCTTAAAAAATATGTTTAATTGCACTAAAAAAATGCTATAACTGTAAGCATACTATTTATGTGTACTTTGTATAAGAACGTTGTGAAATGGTGTCTATTTGAGTGTGTTTCAGGTATATGCATGTCATTTTTAAATTGTTTTAGATAGGGATGTACAGATCCAATCCTGTGATCGGAATTCAGGCCCGATCACACGGTTTCAGATTCGATTTGAATTGGACATTACCTCCCGATCAGGACTTGATATATACACACAGTTAAAGTCAGAATTATTAGCCCCCCTTTGAATTTTTTGTTTTCTTTTTAAAATATTTCCTAAATGATATTTAACAGGAAATTGCATAAAAGGAAATGTTATATATATATATATATATATATATATATATATATATATATATATATATATATATATATATTCTCATTATTTTTAAGACACAGAGTTAGACCTCTTTCTCGACCTCACACAAAAACAGCAACGCGGCATGACATCACTTTGTTGCAGAGTTGCCATTGGTTAAATTCCGACAAAGTAAAACACAGAAACAGCTTGAAGCGGAAAGTGCAAGTATATCATGCAATCTAGAGGTATAATAACGTTGATGATGACAACATTGTCATAGCATACTGTGAGATATATAAATTTTGGATTGCAAGAGGTGAAAAGGAAAAGCCTACATTTAAAACCACAAACCTGATAAGGTACCTCAAAAACAAACACCCGACACAATACAGCGAGTTCACCCAGGCAACCCAACCGAAGACGAATCAGTTCACGCTGCAGGAGAGTTTAAAGAGGAGAGAAAAAATTACCCATGACATTGTGAAAGCACAGGATATTACAGCCAAGATAGCAATGAGTCACCTGCCACTCGCCTTTGTAGATAACCCTGTATTCCTTATGCTTATAAAGCATGTAGAACCTCGATTTGTTTTAATGTATTATAAAAGTATGGAACGATTTTTGTAACGGTAGATACTTAAAATCAAATGATTCAGACTCGAGGGCAAAAAAACTGATTGGGACATCCCTAGTTTTAGATATAATGAAACATTTTAATTTTATTTACATTAAGTCAAACTTGAATCTATTATACAAGTAAAATTTGTATGTAAATATATTAAGCTATTTATGTTTAGCAATAAAACTTTAAAGTCAATATATTATGGAATTTTATTTCTGTACTTATATTGCATCTACATTTTTTTTATGCCAAAAAATAATTCGAATATTAAAAAAGAGCATACTTCATGAGTATTTTGTGAATTCCCCACTGTAAGTATATATATATATATATATATAACATTAATTAGTATTATTTATTGCAAATCACTTTATACAGACAACTTCACTGATGATTTTCTCAATTTTGATTTTTGAAGATTCCAGATTTTCTGTATCTCTGCTAAATATTGCCTATCCTAACTTAGTAGATGTATTCATCTAAATAAATCATACACTTATGACTTGGTTTTGTGGTTCAGGGTCACATTTTGTGTGTAGTTTTTTCTTTAGTGTCAGCAATCTTCTGGTAGTAGAGTAGTGGGTTCTTGAACAGCAGGCTTTTGACATCCATTGCTCAGGGGAAGGATTTTTAACTCTTGACAGCTTTATACATAAACTTGCTTTAAGGAACTTGTGCTTGTGGAGACCTGTGTACTCACTTAGATTAGCAGTAACTGGCCTGACTAAAGAAGTTATTAGATTAGAGTTATTGCCATAGTGTGCATGTATTACAAGCTTGTTTTTGTCTAAATAGGCCATCCATCAGTCTGGCCTGACTGTATGTGTTGTCAGAGCTCATTTGGTTTTAAGATTGGTATGTTTTTGTAACTATACACGTATAGCATGGATTTGATTTATTTGACATTATTAGCATTGGGACCATGCGTACGAAAAGGACGTAAAAGTTAGATAAGCTGCATCCCAAATGGCACACCATACACTATGCACAGGGCTGGACTGGGACAAAAAAAAATTGCCCTGGCATTTTGGGACAGAGCCAGACCCTTAAAAATTTAAATGTTTAACTCAACAGTGATTGAGTCAGCCCAATGTCAGTAAAGAAGAGAACCAATGGGCTGCACATTATGTCACATGGGCTGGTATGTCCAAAAAAGAAACTTCTTTCTTTCAGAGCGTCACAGATCACAGCATAGTCAATTAATAAGGCCGAATAAAATGACAGTCTGCTCAGAAGATTATTAACGCTGTCCAAAAAGTACGATAGCCAAGCGGGAAACTGCCCAGTTTGCCATTTTAATTTTCAGCCAGGCAGCCCAAATGTCTTTCCATTACAAAATTGACACTGTTCTGTAAAATCAGCAATCTTCACTGCCTGTTAGATATACGATATGAAGTGGGTCTCAGATCGGACAAAATGCACTGCATTAAAATCTATTTCCTACCACCATGTCTTTAAAATATGACAGTTTATTTTACCCTTTCAGTGCTATTTCTGCACTAGCCTAGCCTGTTGCTATTGACGGCATTAGTGTTTACAACAGTCTTTCTTCTCATTTACATTCGAACAACTAAATGAATGCTTAAGTCAATTAAACTAAATGTATTGTAATGACATTACAACATTGATGCTGTAAAAACAACCTTGTGAAATTGAAAATAGTCACATTTAGCTTTCACCGAAGTTGATCGTTGGCTTTAAAACTCTAGTTGTGCATAGAGCCCATTCTGACTTTCGAAATGCATTGTTTTTCTCTCTTCAATTAATTCAGAGCTTATTTTTTTTTAACAGCAAGTGGCACTGTAGGCTTTTAAAACAGCCACACTTTGCTTGCATCCACTTCCTTACAAATACCACTTAAACCTAAAAATGATAAATAATAAATTTAGGAAAGATTTAAGCGGATTACAAGATCATAAAGTCAACTTACAGTACGTACAGTAAATGCCTCAGCCAAATGCACAACATCTCTTCCACTTGAGCATTTGAGTGTGTAGTTAAAAACTAGCCTATAGAGCGCCATCTACTGTTAAAAACTGAGCTAAGAATTGATTCAAGAGAGAATGGCGATGCATATTAAAAATCTAATTTTTTCATCACGGCTCAAATAAATATGTTCTGTGCACCCCTCTTTCAATAACAGAGTAAAAACATAGGACAATGATGAGAAAATTGCAGTTAAGAAAGCATTTGATTGTCAAAGTTCTGCAGGGGTGAATTTACTTTTAAAAATGCATTTTTAAAAATTTGGTGTGAACAGGCTATATGTAGAAAGGAAAAGAGTTGTATGTTAGTTTCTAATTATAGTTCACTGGGGTAACTCAAGCTACTGCTCCACCCAGACTTTAAAATGAAACTATATTCTTTCTGAACAACTTAAAAATAACCTCAAAAACGGTGCTTCTAAGGGATTTCTGAGGTAGGTCTGTGTGCCTAGAAATAGTTTACTTGTGGTTACATGTGTGTTACATCACAGGAGCCTATGAAACGTTTTAATTTGGCTTCCTATTACAATCTTCAAGCGCCTGAGTGTCGTGTATAAAGAGGCTTTATTGCAAACAGGTTTTGTCGTCATGCTGTGAGATACCCAGAGTCTGCATTCTCTGTCTTCATACTTGCCTTAAAGGTGAAGTGTATCCTTTTCCAAACACTGAAAGCCTTTCTCTAATCCAACTGTGCTAAAATGATTAAAAGTGAGCCATTTTAGGATGATTTCTCACAAAAGTGTAAATACTGTTTCTCTGGGGTAAGGCTTAACAGTTTATCGTTTAAGCGTCGATATTGCAATGGGCATCTACAAAAGTTTAAATGCTGTTTCTCTACAATGGTAGGGCTGAACAATTTATCGTTCGAGCAACGATTTCGCAATGTGTGCATCTGCAATAGTCAAATCGCAGGATTAAATTATTTATTAAAGATTAAAACATAAAGATTAATTTTTAAATTATTTATACAATGATGACCATGTTATTTTACATTTGATTGTTCAGTTTCTGTACTTAAACACTGTTAGACTCCCCAGAAAGCCATAAAGCATTTTTATTTGTTTATTTTTGCTTGTAATTTATTATAATTTATGCAGATGCACTGCACAGAAAAAGACTTGATCACCCCAGTCATACAATATCAATGAAATATTTCTGAAATAGAGCTATATGAATCATTATATTTAGATTGCAATATACAGTTGAAGTCAGAAATATTAGCCCCCCTGTTTTTTTCCCTCAATTTCTGTTTAACAGAGAAATTTTTTCAACACATTTTTAAACAATAGTTTTAGTAACTCATTTCTAATAACTGATTTATTATTTCTGATATTTTTCGAGTCACTTCTATACAGCTTAAAGTGAAATTTAAAGGCTTAACTAGGTTATTAGGTTAACTTGGAAGGTTGGAATACTAAGGTAAGTTATTGTATAACGATGGTCTGTTTTGTAGACTATCAAAAATATATATCATTTAAAGGGGCTAATCATTTTGACTTTTTTAAAAACTGTTTTTATTCTAGCCGAAAAAAACAAAAAAAACAAATAAGACTTTCTCCAGACAAAAAATATTATTAGACATACTGTGAAAATTTCCTTGATCTGTTAACCATCATTTGGGAAATATTTAAAAAAGAAAACAAAATTCAAAGGGGGACTAATAATTCTGACCTCTGTATATATAATTCTGTATATCGCAGAAAAACAAAATATCACAATGTCCGATCTGTGGGTCTATCAAAAAAATGCTTTGTTTGTTTGAGCATCTTCACCAAGCGGACACAACACTGGCTTTACTAAATCTTTAATTTAACACTTATTACTGGTTCAGCTGACTAATGATTGATACTGTCTTTTATATCAATATATTTTATTTGTATTGGTAAGATTTAAGAAGTTTTATGCTCACACGTGCTGGGTTTATTTGATTACAGTTGTACTATGAACGATTAATACAGTTTTAAATAACTGTTAAATACACTTGAATGGTGATGTATTATTGTTTTCATGCATTAATGGAAATTTATGCTTTTTTGAGAAGTTAAAGATAAGTAAAACAATTTTTAACAACGTAAAATTCATTTAAATTTAAGTGATTCAAGTGTAACTTTAATTTTAAAATATACCCCACTAGATTCTTAGCAAAATAGTTATTTATAAAGATTGGAGGAACAAAGAGAATATTAACTTATTAGGACTTAAATGCCAGTATGTTTTTTCACTCAAAATCATTTTTTGACAGATAAAATGATTAATTCTTCACATACACAATTCCATATACATGATTTTGTAGACAAACATAAAAAGTATTTCTTGATTCAAAAACATTAAACAGCTGAAAGAAGTAAAAGGTCACAGCTGTCCAAACACTGGCAAATAAAAGTGATTGAATACATGAAAAACCTGACACATCAACCCTGTAAAGTAGTATTTTGTTCATACCAAGAACGATTAGCTCTTAAACCAATGTATGATTAAAGGGATTTTTTTACCCACCATTTACTCACTTCCAAGAGGTTTCAACCCTTAATGAATAATACTGCATTCTATATCTTAAACTGATAAATTTATAATTAAAACCTTATCTTTTACTAAGCTGTGCGATTGTTAATAATATTTATTTTTATATTGATGGCAGAGATCCGAGAAGATGTTAATAACATTTACATCCATCATTAAACATTCTCCCCGGCCTAGATCGTGTGGCGGGGATTGTGTGTTCTGAAACGTGTGTGGGTCTGTAGGTTTGCAGCTGGATATATCTCACTTATCTTGGTTCATTAATCCAATTTCTATGTTTGCTTCACATTTCTGCTGTCTTTCCCTAGTGGAGGCGAATAAAGTCAGTGAGAGCGCAGAGTTTGTGGAGGTTCCTTCTTCAATCGCCACCAATGTAATTGGACAGAATACAGACGTTCCAGCAACCAGCTCATCAGAACTGATGTGTGAACGCTCTTGTGAAGAACTGGCCAACCTTTTCCAGGAGCTCAAGGGTCTCAGAGTTGTCGTCAGCAACCTCATAGATGGCCTGCAGAAAGTGGTGAGTCCTCTTGTGGGTGTTTTTAATGCATCCACATATAAATCGTGCAAAATTGACTCTGAGAAGAGAATATTTACTCATACAGCATATCATATTGTCGATGTTAACCAAATTTGTCAGATGTTTAAAAAACCTGAGCTCACTAGTGAGGCCATTTATATTTGTGGGCACACGAACAGGATAGTCGGACCATAATTTTGTATTTGCCCACATAACTGTGGCAGGAATGTGAGCTCAGTAAATCACTGTGTCAGACGCTTTCACTTGGAAAACATCTAAAGTTCTCAATGCATGGAGATTTATGGTTCTGTTTGAATGTGTGGAAAGCCTGAATGACGCAGCATGAAGATAGACAGCTGTTTAATTCATTTCAAAACAATTTTTTTTAGACAGAAGAAAACACGGCAATGAAGGAGGCGCTAAACAAGATGCAAAGTCTTTCAGAGCAGAGTATGTGTTGGCAAGATGGTCGTATGTTTGAGGACAAGGAGGACTGGATTGTGGATAGCTGTACTAAATGTACCTGCCAAGAAGGAAAAGTTGTTTGTCGACAGATCACTTGTCCTCCAGTGGCATGTGCCAATCCATCCTTCATCGATGGCGAATGCTGTCCAGTTTGTCTTCGTAAGTGCATGCAAATGCTTTTGTTTTGTTTTTTTCTGAACTATGTTTTGGTAACCAAAACTTAAATTATGTATTGTTATAAAAAAATATATATAAATATAATTGATGTAATGATAATGATAAAAAAAAAAAACGTATATGACTCTTTAGAGAATAAAACTCCTGTTTCCCAGTATTGGGTTGCAGCTGGAAGGGTTCATTTTGGTGTGGCGACCCCTGATGAATAAAGGGTCTAAGATGAAGGAAAATGAATGAATGAACGAATGAATAAAATACTAATGTTTTCAATTCAGAAAAATGATGACAACAAATGGAGAAATTTGTTATTTTCTGACATATTTTCATTAAAATAAAGATCTAAATGACAATTTGTTTTTTAATTTGGAAAAAATTTTATCAGACTTTTATAGAATAATTAGCTAATAATATTTTACACATATTTTACAATAATATTTTAACTGATACCTAATTTATGCTGTAAATCCAGAGCAATTAAACTTACTATTTATCAAGGAATCATGAAATATTGTATCATGGTTTCCCTAAAATGGGGCTTCATTTTGAGTACGAATGTCTTTGAGATCTTTGAAACACTTTATTTTTTCGCATTTCATATACCAAAAAAAAATTTAGTAATGTATTCTAAATAAAAAAGTCATGTCATAAGAAATATGAATAACTCAGTTTTGACAAATTTTAATCAGAACCTCATAATTCAAAGGTGACAAGGAGTTTCTTAACCAAATTAGTGTATAACAATGATTTCTGAAAGATCATCAGATGCTGAAAACTATTAATAATCTCTAAAATTCATCTTCTATTGCGAGAATAGATGTAATGGTTGTCAGGGTTCATACACATTTTTACTACAAAAATTCCATGACTTTTCCTAGACTTTTAAGTCAATTTCCATGACCTAATGTTTAATGTAATGTCTACATATACGTGGCAATTCATAAGAAACGTTAAAATTTATTACAACAATTTATTTTTATATCTATGTAAAATAGATGATGCTTACAAAGCACTAATGATCTGAGAGCATGTTTTTGGCCAAGAAAAGAAAAGTAAAACATCTAACCTCCATTCCAATATACAGATATTTGTCAAACAAATTTTAGATAATCTTAATAGTTTGTTAAACTAGTAATAGTAGGTAAAACTAATTCTATTGCAAAGTCACGCTCACACTGCACTTTTTGCTCCGATAGACTTCCATGCAAATGTGGCAGACCAGAAAAACAAGCTTTTGCATTTCACTGCATTCGAAAGTTCAAGCTTGGTAAATTCTTACCTGCGAAATCACATCAGGGGATTGTGTTAGACCAATAGAAGATAATTTAAGATTAGAAATTTAAAATATGGAGCAATTGCTCACTTTTATGAACGTCTAATCATATTGTTTTATACGACTTTTGCAAGCACAAGCTCACAAGACAAAAATGTCTGATAAACAACTAAATGTAAATGTAATTTTCATATCTTTTCCAAAACATTGTTGGTTTTTCTGTGCCATGTCAAAATTCCATAACTTTTCCGGGTTTTTTCATGACCGTATGAACCCTGGGTTAGAATGGTGTTTAATTTTTTAAAGTGCCAAAATCAGTAAACAAATCATTTGTACATTTCCTAATGATGTATTATACATCTCCATGTAGCAATGGACAGTGAGGACGGCTGGTCTCCTTGGTCAGAATGGACTCAATGCACAGTCACATGTGGAAGTGGGACTCAACAAAGGGGGCGCTCTTGTGACGACACAAGCAACACATGTTCTGGCCCATCGATTCAGACACGCAAGTGCAGTTTGGGAAAGTGTGACCGCAGAGGTACATACACACTTTTTGTGTGTGAAGGCTGGCTGTCAGTTATTGTAGCACTCTTACAGTAACTTTGCGTTTTACATTTGCAGTTCGTCAGGATGGTGGCTGGAGCTTGTGGTCTCCCTGGTCATCCTGCTCAGTAACATGTGGGGAAGGACTGATCACACGTATCCGTCACTGCAATGCTCCTGTTCCACAAAGAGGTGGCAAAGACTGTGAAGGTGAAGGACGAGAGACACAGAGCTGCCACACAGATCCCTGTCCCAGTGAGTATTGCTAGCCAGTAAAGAAACAATTATCGTTGTCAGTTCATTTAAAGATGCAGTATGTAAGTTTGAAACCCAGCGGTTGAACTAAGTATTGCATTCCTGGTTCAAAACAAACTCAAGCACAAGTTGCCAGATTGAGGAACAACAAGAGCGAGTCTAACAATCGAGCATAAAGGCTGATTTAAATCGTGTTTTATATAAAAGCAACGGTACACGACAGTAGGCTTTTAAGGAAACTGGCATTAAATCAGTGTCAAACAATTAGAGTCACAAAATAATGTAGAGTGATATTACAGACTATGGTTTTATCAAATCTGTAAATCGAACAAAATATTAAACTAATAAAAATTATACATAATATAAAAACAAAAAGTAATTACAAAAACACAGCAAATTCACAATAATACCCAAGCCACCTTATACAATTACAATCATTTCATACTAAATAACTACTAATAATAATTATTATAGTACTAAGAACAGCAAAGTTTTTCTTGGGATGCCTCAAACCAGCTTCAAATTCAAAAAGAAACATGACCTTATTTTTCTGGTAAATATGACACCTCGTTTGATTTATGATGTGGCTTCAAAAGATTGAGCTATAAATATTACAGCTTGACGGAATAGTTATAAGCCTAAAATTTTACCTCCAAAGTCACATTTAACCATGTCCTAACTTGCTGTGTCTGTGCTTTTTCACAAAAGTTGCAATCGAAAAAAATGTTTTTGTACTTGTTTAAAGTATATCCATTATTCCCTTGACACTTGCGCTTGTTAGCTCATTGCATTTATGGTTATTGGTGAGTTCAGTGTTGTTGTTGTTGTTTGAAACAAACAGTGGCCCAGTTCTTCACTGGCATCTTTGGGACAAAAACAGTAGTGCAAAAAAGATTCAAAACTCATGTGCATGCAGCTCATACATTGTATGCACAGTTAGGAAAATCAGGCTGCAAACAGTATCCAGATTTAACAATAATTGCAAATTTCAGTTGTACTACTTATGGATTACTTGGCCTGGGCAAAAATTTTTTGACAATTATTATGTGCAAATCCATTTCTGGTAAAACCCCAGCACATGCTTTCAGATGGAGCAGCACTTACTACACAGAGTCATAGTAAACTGAGAAGCAATGCAAAATTGTATTCATAATCTAAATCAGCCTAATCAGGCAATAATTCCATCGAGATAGTCATTCTGGGATAATGAGAGCTGTTTGCATAGCTTCGCACTGAACTATGGCTCTGTATAATGGAAAATAGCATAAATACAGTAATAACATAACATGTTTTTACTCCAAACTTACTTCATAACTTCAGACGAGTGTTTAAAATAAATCCTTCTGTGAGATGATTCTGTATTCATGTGATATTAATTATGTTGAATCAATGATGTAGCTAAATCCTGTTTATAATGCAATGCTATGGGGATTTCCTGAATTTCTTCTCTGTGGGTGTTTGGAGTTAAAGTGCAAGAGCGCCCCCAGGCCTTAAGAGAAAATTTACTACTGATCACAGGACCGTGCTTCCCTTAAAAAATTTGCATTTTTTGACTGTCACAGCAAATTCACTGACTTAAGCTTAAATCACTGTGTTATGGCATTTCAAAAAATGTAACGCTGTTAAACATTAACTTGACAGCCCTACAAAATTTAATGCTCAACCTCCAATTGAGCCCAACCACAAACATGCTCATATAGAAACCATCTCGTCCACCCGTCTGGGATGATGATGTCATCCGTTCCAGGACTTATATTATCATCGGCGATGTTACACATATTTGGTCAAGTTCTTCATTTCAGGATTATGCTGAATATACTTATGAGATGCCCAATGAATTCTTGGCCATTTCTGGTTTTTGGATGTTCAGAAATGTGCAGTTTCAGTGAACAGCAATGCCAGAAAAGGGAGAGCTATGTGCACATTGCCTACTTATTCCAGGCGTTTATGTGTTATTTCCACATTAGCAGGGAATGTGCTAGCACACAGATTGCCATATTGGATTGCATAACATAACATGTGGTTCAAAATGAAACGCATGCTAATGCCTACCTAAAAATGGAATTTGCCTAGTTTAATTAGTTGTTTTCATGACTTCAGTATTAGTTCTTTGAAGTCAGCTCTACCACTGCTTTGTTTTCTATTAAAATTGCGTAAGTAGAACAACGGCAAATATAAAAGTAAATAACAACCAGTTTAATGCAAAACAAAACTAAATAACAAGCAGGTGAATTTTGTCACAGTCAAGTAAATTCTACATTATGCAGTAATACAGATGTTTATTTCATAAGGTCACAAAACAGAGTTATTTTGAAAAGATTTATGAACCAAAAATTTGGGCTAGGATATCTAACGCTATGTTGTGTCTGTTTGTCCATTTAGTTGATGGTGGCTGGGGCCCATGGTCTCCGTGGGCAGCATGTTCAGCTACATGTGGAGGGGGCCTGAAGAGTCGTGTCAGAGAGTGTAACAGCCCTGAACCGCAGCATGGAGGAAGGAAGTGTCTTGGAGACTCCATTGAAAATGAAGTATGCAACCGACTGGAGTGTCCTATTGGTAAGAAAAACATTTCCCGTTCAACTTTTTAGAAATGTTCTATTATTCACTAGTGTTAGAGATTAAATTTAAATAAGACAAAATGTTTTATGTCAAAATGAGTGCTCTTTTGGTGACACGGTGGATCAGTAGTTAGCACTGTCACCTCACAGCAAGAAGGTTGCTAATTCGAGTCCTGGCTGGATCAGTTGGCATTTCTGTGTGGAGTTTGCCTGTTATCCCTGTGTCAGTGTGTATTTGCTCTGGGTGCTCTAGTTTCCCTAACAGTCTTGGTGAATTTAATAAACTAGATTGGCTGTAGTGTATGTGTGTGAATGAGTGTATATGGATGTTTCCCAGTACTGGGTTGCAGCTGGAAGGGCTTCCGCTGTGTAAAACATATGCTGGATAAGTTGACGGTTCATTCTGCTGTGGGACCCCTAATGAATAAAGGTACTAAGCTGAAAGAAAAAAAATGAGTGCTCTTTTGATTTTTACAGATGGCTGCCTTTCCAACCCATGCTTCTCTGGAGTCGAGTGTAACACAGCTTCTGATGGATCCTGGGAATGTGGACCCTGCCCAAATGGTTATCGGGGCAATGGAACTTCCTGTGAAGATGTCAACGAGGTGAGCAATCTGACTAATAAGATCAAAATATGGTTTTGAACAAAGCTGTAATCCTAAAGACAGTTTTAGATAGCAGTCCAAAACACTTAAAGGGATAGTTCACTGAAAATGTAAAATCCTGTCATCATTTACTCATCCTCTACTTGTTCTGGTAGCTCTTTATTTTGATGGTCCAGTATTAGTAGACTGTTTGCTTAATATATGTTGACTCTGCTGCTAAACAGACATTTAACTGACTATAAGAAACTTTGTACTTGTCAACTTACACTAAGCCTAACCCCAACCTAACAGTCTACTTATAATCTAATAAGAAGTAGTTGGCATGTATATGCAATGCAATTTAAAAAAAAAAAACTATTAAAATAAAGTGTGACCATAAAAACACACCATGAAAGTGTGCTTTCTTCTGTTGAGCACACAAGAAGATATTTTGAAGAATGATGGAAACAACTTTAATAGTATTTCTTTTGTCTGGCTACCAGATTCCAACATCATTCTGAATATTCTCTTTTGTATTTGTGCACACTTCATTAAAGCCACAAAAAGATATATGTTCATAAGTTAGCAGTAATTTTGTTCAAATTTTATGTAATTTAATGAAAAATGTGTGTGCTATGGCAGGTTTTTAGATGCTGGGTGGTACACACTCATAAAAAAACCCTCAGTATTACAATTGGCTTACTAAAATGCAGTCACATCTGAAGATCAAATAAGGACTTTAAAATTATTGCCAGTAGAGTAATGATGCATGAAACAGCTCACACACAACTCATTTAGCCACATTTTAATACCCCCCTGCTTACTTATGCAGCAGACTTTATGCCATGATTAAGGATGTGCCACATAGCAAAATATATCTGGCCCACACAATCAGCTTTTGCTTGACCCTCATCGCAATGACTTACAGTACATGACTGGACCAAGTTCTATCTTCCAGACAAGGGCCAAACATGCACCATATCTGGGCAAAGTCTTAGCCAGGTTAATAACTGGGCCAGATATGTTGGTGTGTCATGACTGCCATGAAATTGGTAAACCCATGAATCATTGCGCTTTAGGCATGCTATAGGTGTGCCTTTTTACAAAGCAACCTGATTGGTCAATTTTTTTTTTTTTTTTTTTTTTGAAAATAATATTTAAATGTGGGTCAAGATTGGCCAAACTTACATGACCCACATATCAAATTATTAACATCTGGGCCAAACAGTACATTTTACACCTGTCCCAAGTATTGTGTGCCGTCTTAAAGACAGTGCCACCTCTTCCAAACCAGAGCCATATTTGGCCCACATGCTGTATGCCAGTCCTGGATGAATGCCTGCTGTGCCAGATTTATGCCAAATCTGGGCCAAAATTGTTTGCTCTCTGGGGTGAATCATTGTAAAGATGTATGATTTGTTCAGAAATAATTAAACAGGGCACATACTAATGTATGAGAAAATTGAATTACACATTTATTGTTTTTTTTTTTTACCTGAAAACCTCTTATCATGGTCTCTTAGTGTTTCATACAGTATATTTTAATAAGTACAGGTCAGAATAAGAATGCTGTTTCATGTCACATAAACATATCTGTTACACTGAATAAGGATAAAGCACTATTTTGCCCATATTTTGACATTTTGCTTTTCACAGACACACCAAATTACGCACTTTAACTGCATTTAATTAGCCTTCTCTGCATATCAAATTACTTTCCCAAATAAATCTGTTACGTACACTTAAATATCTTTGATTCGTCTGCATAGCAATGCTTGCTACCATGGCAATGAGCTCAGCAAGAGCAAGAATGCATCAGTATGTATTCAATCTGACAACCCTGATCTTTATACCACTTTTCTTTTCTCTTGCTATATTTTCGTTTGTGGTGTGCACTGTTCAGTGTAATATGGTGTCAGATCTATGTCATAAAGTGGGTGGCCTACAGCAGTGTGTGAACACAGACCCCGGATTCCACTGTCTCCCCTGCCCCCCTCGCTACAAAGGGACTCAGCCCTACGGCATGGGAGTGGAGTCAGCTAAAACCAACAAACAGGTCAGTACCACACACATCACCTCACATACCGAATAATTTACGTCCAGGTCTCCTGGTTCTGGTTCACATATATTTAAACAGACAAGGTTTCAGTATCTGTTTTTTTTTTTTACTCATGAATAGGTTTGTGAACCCTACAACCCCTGCAAAGACAACAGCCACAGCTGTCACAAGTTTGCTGAATGCATCTTCCTCAGTCACTTCACTGACCCCATGTACAAGTGTGAGTGCCGGATTGGTTATGCTGGAGACGGCATCATCTGTGGTGAGGATTTTGATCTGGATGGATGGCCCAACCAGGATCTTGTGTGTGGAGCAAATGCCACCTATCATTGCAAAAAGGTATTACATTACTCAGTGGCCCTATCCACCTTGTATTAAAATGTTTTTTATGGCCCGTTTGAACTAAGTGGTATGGTACAGTATAGTATGGTACAATTTGGTATGCTTTTATGGCCATTTCCACTATCAAAAGGTAAAGCAAACCATACCACTTTTTGGGTACCCATTCGAAAGGGTACCTAACACAACAAAAGGATCCAGACACGCAGCTGAACGCTTTTACAGGTATTAATCACTAGCTTGTGCACAAGCCAGGAGAATGAAAACACAGGAAGTGCCACTTTTAAATACACAGCCAAGACATTACACAGTAATAATATATACATATAACAATGAGCCATGGACGACCCGAGCTCAAACAAACCTTGTCAAACATGACATGGTCTTGTTGAACAGCCACAAAGCCAAGAAGAAGAGCAATTTACTCTGTGCCCCGTAGTTGTTTACAAGGCAGTCTAAAGCACAAGTGGTTTCACTTTCTCCAGAGGGCTTACTGCACGTCTATTTTTGAAATAACAAACTTCTTGAGCTGATGATAATAACGGGCGCGTGATTATTGAAGTTCTTCTGAAATCCTTTTTAGAAACTGACAAACGTGAGAAAGAAGCACAAAAAATCAAAGGAGAAGCCATAGTGACAGGAGTGATGGTTGTGCGGCCAAGTGTTTGAGATATATATCTCTTACTCCTGCTTCAAAACCATGGTGAAGTTATTAGTACTGCAATAAATCCATGTAATAGCCTTTTCTGTCTCTAACAGTGTATTTTCTAATCGTCAGTGCCATAGACAATATCAGTGCTTTTTGTTCATCAAGTTTATTCAAATTTTGCTCTTCACTAAATTCAAGAACTTCTTGATTTGATGCCTATCCATATCCAAACAAATCAGCACCATTAAATTCCACTTTCTAACATGTATCGAAAATATGTTAGTAAGTGTATAATCGAGAACAGTTATATAGTGATGATTATCGTAATCATTTCATCGCCCATCCCTTTACTTAGGACCAGATGTCAGTTTAATCGGACAAATGTAGATAATATTCTAATATTTTGAAGTCATTATACTTTCTAAAGCAGTGTTCTCTGCATTGGTTCATTGTTTTTTGTTTTAATTTAATGCAAGCCAGACCGAAAGGTTTAGCTGTTGACTGCTATGAGAAGGTTTCTAGGGGATATAAAATGGAAAGAAATATTGTTTTACCTTAATAAACCCCAAAGGACAATGGCATCAAGTCAGGCAGGGGGCCCAATGGCCGTGAACTAGAGGAATGTTTTGATTTGGCCCAGTGTTTATTGTCTATTGTGCCGTTTGGAATCGTATATTTTATATCCTTTAAATGTCTTTGTGCTGAAGTGTTTTGCCAAAGGGAGAGAGAGCAGAAGTAATAATTACATCATTCTTCTCCTGTGATGGATAATTGCTTGATTATGTCATGATACACCGTGGAGAAAAACCAGGACCAGAATCTGCAAGACATCATAGATCTGAAGCTCGAGAAGCAGAGAGAGCCAAGCGAGAAAGCAATAAAGGATAAAATATGTGCGCGTAACAAATAAAGGAAAATGCCGGTAATGTGTAGAATGAAGAATTGAGAACTGAAGGAGTTTGAAAGTGCTCTATTTGGGTGATTTGATGTGGTTCATTTGTTATGAATAACTATTAGTGTCAGATGATTTCTGTAGAAAGGTCTGATTCACACTGCACACATAATGTGAAGCAGTACTGTGGTAGACAGGGCCTGAAAATGATGACTTAATGCAAAATATTTAATAAAGTATCTTAAATATAATTCTCAAAAAATGTATGTATGTATATGCTGCTGTTTAAAGGTTTAAACTGCAAGACTCCATTTAGTTTAGTTTGTTAAACTATATTACAAAATATTATTATCACAAACCATTGACAAAAATGCGAATAATATTACAAAAATTCAGAGTTTTTGGCAGCCAGTATACTTCAAACATTTGTAACAATCACAAGAATCACACAGTTGACTTTATTTGCAGGACAACTGCCCGACTTTACCCAACTCAGGCCAGGAGGACTTTGACAATGATGGACAAGGAGATGCTTGTGATAAAGACGATGATAACGATGAAATTGTGGATGAAAGGGTAAGGCAGATTTCTGGCATTTATAAACTGTGTAATGCTACTGATAGAAATACTGAATGTGTGCTGTATATATAGAGCATGAAATATGATTGATCAATTTCTACCAGGACAACTGTCCCTTGATGTACAACCCCAGACAATATGACTATGATAAGGATGATGTTGGAGACCGCTGTGATAACTGCCCGTATGAACACAACCCCGCTCAGACAGACACAGACAACAATGGAGAAGGAGACGCCTGCTCTGTTGATATGGATGGAGATGGTACTAAAAATATTTTTATTGTCTTTATAAATCCTTTTGAGCAGGGTTTAAAATCAATGATGACTTTTAGCAAATATGGCAACAAAATGAAGAAAAGGTTCAAATTTGGGTTTCTATATGTTTAATTTATATTAAATCTTAAACAATTTATTGCAATTTTGGAAAAGTATTTATTTATTTGTTTGTTAGCACTTAACATTTTTCATTTATTAACCTTCATTATCATTAACATTTAGGGCTCTATTTTAACAATCTAGGTGCAAAGTCTAAAGCGCAGGGCGCAAAAGCATTAAGGACAAGTCTGAATCCACTTTTGCTGTTTTAATGATAGAGAAATATGCTCTGCGCCCCAGAAACAAGGTCTAACAGGGTTGTGCTTATTTTATTAATGAGTTCTGAGTGTGTTTTGAGCATAATGTTCGTAAAACAAATCAAAGTCTCATCTCCCGTTCCCTTTGGATGGATAAACTGAACTAGAGTGAAACAGATGGTCAGTTAAACAAACCATCTGCAGCACGAGGATAAAGAACGAGCCTCCTCCATTCGGCCTCTTTGCTTTCTCTTTACTTTTACTCTTACCTTTTTTTTCATGGATAAAGAAACAGAGTTGTGTGCACTCCATTAAAGACATCCATTAGCCTTCATATTTAATTTTGTTTGTTAAGCACAAAAAATAGTTTAAAACTATTTCTAAATTCAGTTTTAATTTCCAGCAAATTAATAAATGAACAATAATAACAAAGTGTGCTCAAAAAGTTATAGTTATATCCAAACACACGACCTGTTTTTAAACGTGACAGATGGACAGATCTTTTTAATAAAACAAATACAAATATGCATATAATAAACAATACTGCTAATATTAATAACATTATACAAATGCAAATTGTCAAGAATAAACTGAAAAAGCCCCCCGTGATGAGGCATGGAGGTAGTTTTTTTTATATTAATGTAGAAAATAATAATTTTTGGAAAATTTTAATTCTTTAATTGTTTTTGTATGTAAAGATATTTGTGTATTGCTATACATCCTGTGTGTATTAAGCAATGTGTAACTGTTTGAACCTATAGGCGCATAACTAACGTGCTCTTCGCTGGACCTACTGTACTTTTAGTTGGTCAATGATGCAGTCTATTTCAGTTTTTCAAAATAGCAACGCACCAACAATGCGCCTTAATACACCTCTATTTTAGACCAGCACACCCATCAGTCCACAAGCTGGTGCAAATGGATTTGCTATTTAAACCATGTGGTGCAAAACTTGAAAAGTAGAGTTGCACTGGTCTAAAAATAGAAACAAATTCCGCCAAACATTTCTGCGTCTTATTGTGCTGGGTGTATGATATGATTAATGGCAAAATATGATATGTAAGAAAAATGGTGTCAATTCTCTTAAAATGTTTCATTTTTTGATAAAAAAAATATTGAAATTTGAAATATATTTTAAATAAAGCTAAACGTCTATGTTTGGCCTAAATTAGAAGAGATAAAAGTGTTTATTTCTATCGACTATGTAAACAGATTTATAGAAATCTTAAGTAGTCAAATAATTACACTTCTTATTTAGTAACTAAATTACTTTTCAGACAAAGTTATTTGAAGAAATTTAAATACAAATTTATAATGTAATCAGTAAATATTTACTTTTTTTAAATAAACTTATCCAACTTATCTATTTAGTATTCTCGCTATTTTAAGCAATTGGTTGAAGCAGTGGTTCTCAAACCTTTTTCATCAAGTACCACCTCAGAAAAGACTTGCCTCTCCAAGTACCACCATAATGAGCAATATTGAAATACAGCAGTGTAGTAGGCCCAATTAAGCAGCTACAGCATTGCACAGTTTAAAAACGAGGCAGATTCATTCCTATTATTAAAAATGTTTATTATTGTCTGCCACTTTAAACATTATAAATAGTTTGAACATTGCCACTATACTCTTATAATAAAAATGAAACATCAACATTAAAATTAAAATATGCTTTTAAAAGTTAAAAATAAAAGGTTACTGTTCTTAAAATATGTAAAGTACTAACATTTAGTAGCCAATTCATTGACACCTGGAAATGTTGCCTAGACCTCAGAAATGTAGATTATGGGTCATCATATTAATATATAAATAATTTTTGATAAATTTTGAAATATATGTAGCATGTACTTATGACATATTTGATTCCTCCATGTACCACAATGGGAAGCCCGCGTAACACTAGTGGTACATGAACCACAGTTTGAGAACCATTATGTTAAAGTTTTTGAGCTGATAGATGCAGTTATTACTGTAATGATAAGTTGTAAAGTATTAAAATGTGACTCTATGTAATACAATTTATTTTTCAATAAATATTTTCTATTCTCTTTTACTCTTAGAAATTCTGAATGAGCGAGACAACTGCCCTCTCATTTATAACACTGACCAGAAAGACACAGATTTAGATGGCGTTGGAGACCAGTGTGACAACTGCCCATTAGTCCACAACCCACAACAGGTCTGGAGGAAAGTACTTTTGCAGCTTCTTAATTCATGTTTTAAGAAAGTTACCAATTGTTCTTTTTGCAGACGGATTCAGATAACGATCTAGTAGGAGACCAGTGTGATAACAATCAGGACATAGATGAAGATGGACATCAAAATAACATGGATAACTGCCCATACATACCCAACGCTAACCAAGCTGACCACGACGGAGATGGGAAAGGAGATGCTTGTGATTTTGATGATGATAATGACGGCATTCCTGATGACCGAGATAACTGCAGACTAGTTCCAAACAAAGACCAAGAGGACTCTGATGGTAAAAACACTTACATTTTTACTACATTAAGACAGGCACTCTGATGGGATTTTTATAGTACTGAAATAATTATCATTTGTAATTTCTTATGGGGGTGACATGGTGGCTCAGTGGTTAGCACTGTCACCTCACAGCAAAAAGGTCACTGGTTCGAGTCCCGGCTGGCCCAGTTGGCATTTCTGTGTGGAGTTTGCATGTTGTCCCCATGTTTGCATGGGTTTCCTCTCGGTGTTACGGTTTCTCCCACAGTCCAAAGACATGCGCCATAAGTGAATTGAAGAACATACTGAAATTAAACATTTCAATTAAATGTTTTAAATTAATAAGATATTTTTTTAAATGTGCATACTGTCACATGACGTATAGAAGGCAATGCAGAGACATCAGTGAGAAAATGAAGGCGAAGGCAGATTCTGCTTGACCAGTGTATTCAGCATTGAATTCCACTGTTAAAAATGTGACTGTTTATGTTTTTATCGTAGTAAGTTATGATTAAAACAATTATACTGCATTTGTTAATATAATGGGCGGTGCAGTAGGTAGTGCTATCGCCTAACAGCAAGAAGGTCGCTGGTTCGAGCCTCGGCTGGGTCAGTTGGCGTTTCTGTGTGGAGTTTGCATGATCTCCCTGTGTTTGCGTGGGTTTCCTCAGGGTGCTCCGGTTTCCCCCACAATCCAAAGACATGCGGTACAGGTCAATTGGGTAGGCTAAATTGTCTGTAGTATAAATGAGTGTGCATGGATGTTTCCCAGAGATGGGTTGCAGCTGGAAGGGCATCCGAAAGAGAATCTGAAAATGTTCAAGTGGTCTCATTTCCCATTTTTCTATAGCTGTATACTGTAAACACTCAACGGCCACTTTATTAGGTACACCTGTCCAACTGCTCGTTAATGCAAATCTGCCAATCACATGGCTGCAACTCCATTTACTACATAGACATGGTCAAGATGATCTGCTGCAGTTCAAATCGAGCATCAGAATGGGAAAGAAAGGTGATTTAAGTGACTTTGAAGGGTTTACAGGGTTTACAGAGAATGGTCTGAAAAAGAGAAAATATCCAATGAGTGGCAGTTCCATAAGTGCCTTGTTGATGTCAAAGGTCAGAGGAGAATGGCCAGACTGGTTCCAGATGATAAAAAAGGAGAAAAGCAACAGAATTCAAATAACCACTCATTATAAGCGAGGATATGCAGAAGAGCATCTCTGAACATGCAACATGTTGAACATTGCGGTGGATGGGCTACAGCAGCAGAAGACCACACAGGTTGCCAATCCTGTCAGCTAAGAACAAGAAACTGAGGCTACAATTCACACAGGCTCACCAAAATTGGACAATAGAAGATTGGAAAAACGGAAAAAAGCCTGGTCTGATGAGTCTCGATTTTCGCTGTGACATTTGAATGGTAGGGTCAGAATTTGGCGTCAACTTCTTGTATGCATGGATCCATCCCGCCTTGTATCAACGGTTCAGGCTGGTGGCGGTGGTGTAATGGTGTGAGGGATATTTTCTTGGCACACTTTGGGACATTAGTGCCAATTGAGCATTGTGTCAACGCCACAGCCTACCTGAGTATTGTTGCTGACCATGTCCATATCATTATGACCACAGTGTACCCATCTTCTAATGGCTATTTCCAGCAGGATAGTCCGCCATGTTATAAACCGTGAAGCATCTCAGACTGGTTTCTTGACCATGACAATAAATTCACTGTACTCAAATGGCCTCCACAGTCACCAGATCTCAATCCAATAGAGCACCTTTTAGATGTGGTGAAAAGGAAGATTTGCATCATGGATGTGCAGCTGACACATCTGCAGCAACTGCCTGATGCAGTCATGTCAGTGTGGATCAAAATCTCTAAGGAATATTTCCAATACCTTGTTGAATCCATGTCACAAAGGATTAAGGCAGCTCTGAAGGCAAAAGCAGTCCAGCCCGGTACTGGTAAGGTGTACCTAATAAAGTGGCCAGTGAGTGTATGTGCACATGCATTTAAAATAAAAGTATTTAAGTTTTGGAAGGCTACAAAAATGTGCTGTTTCACTCCAGAGTAAAGAATGTGTCGAAATAATGATGTGTCTAATTATTGATATATGGCGCTGAAGCATCAATGTGAACATTTGTTCTCCAGATTATCAGAGAACTCGATAAACAACTTCCAGAACTTTCCTCTGGGCTCCTCTCGCACCTGTTTGTCTTAATACACAACCCAGCATTTAATTTTTGCGTCTGTTGTTTTGGACATCGTTCATATTTCCTATGAGGGTCGTCCAAGAACCTGTCCCATAAAAAAAGAAAATCAAAGACGAGGCACGAATAGCAGGCAGATAAGAAACACGTACATTTTTCACTGGCATCAGAAATGTTGAAGATTTGCATCCCGGGGTAGTACTTTGCGTCTTTTTGTGTTTTATGAGGTATTTTAAACACAGATATACGCAGCTTGACATTAAGCCTGAATGGTATAATGGTGGAACGAGCTCTGTGTTGTCAGGCCATACTCACTGCTTGGGTTTTCTTTTATAAAGTGGATTTGAAATTTAAGTGGGGTGAAATTTGCCTTGGCATTCCAACGGGTGTTCATTTCAGCGGCCCTCTGAACTCCAAGTGCTAGTTGAAGCTGTCACGGTCTATGGGGAGATTGGAGATCTTTGAGGTTTTGTTGGCTTACAGAGACAATCCCGAAGCTTTGGGAAAAGCCATTGTTTTCCAGGTTTCCAAAAGGAAAAGTACCTCTTGGCTACGACTGCACTGTGTTGCCAGTAGTTCGCAGATCAAATGATTGAATGTTTTGAAGCTTAGATTCGAATTTTCTAGGTCAGTGGTTTTGGAGTATTTTATGAAGTGATTGTACCGATAGTCTAAACACGAAGAGTGTATACTGCTTCATATGGACTACTAAGCTCATAATGATTTATTAATTTGCTATTTTAACTACTTTTAACTGCACAAGCTACAAACATTAATGTTTAAGTGCAACTACATGCCCAAAAATGTAATAGTGAAAGTATGCGGAGAAAAGCAAGATCTTTATCATATTATCCTTTTAATGGATATAGATTTGACCCATATGGCCATTCTAGGTAGAAATACACAGAACTTTTTTATGTTTTTTTAAATTTTAATAAACTTTTATTAGAATAACATATATAGACACATTTAGGAATGTTCTGGATGCTATAGTTACTAATAAGTTATATAGGCGACAAGGTGGCTCAGTGGTTAGCACTGCCACCTCACAGCAAGAAGGTCGCTGGTTCAAGTTCCAGATGGGTTAGTTGGAATTTCATGTTCTCCGTGGTCATGTGGGTTTCCTCTGGGTGCTCCAGTTTCCCCCACCCTCCAAAGACATGCGCTATAGGTGAATTGAATAAACTAAATTGGCCATAATTTATGTTTGTGAATGAGTGTATGGGTGTTTCCCAGTACTGTGTTGCATTTGGAAGGGCATTCGCTGTTTAAAACATGTGCTGGATAAGTTGGCAGTTCATTCTGCTGTGTTGACCCTTGATGAATAAAGGGTCTAAACTGAAGGAAAATTATTGAATGAATGAATGAATGAATGAATGAATGATATAATTTAAAAACCTTTGCAGTTCTAGTGTTAAAATGATGTAAATGTGACCGCAACATACACTGTATATCAACATGTTAAACATTCCTGTGTTTTCTTGCAGGTGATGGTCGAGGTGAGGCCTGCGAGAATGATTTCGACAATGACAATGTGCCAGATATCTTTGACGCCTGTCCAGAAAACAGCGGCATCAGTGTCACAGACTTCCGGAAGTTTCAGATGGTTCACCTCGACCCCAAAGGAACCACGCAGATCGATCCCAACTGGGTGGTCCGAAACCAGGGCAAAGAGCTTGTGCAGACGGCCAACTCCGACCCTGGCATTGCAGTGGGTGAGTGAGATCCAATGCAAACATTTCCATACATAAAGAGGTACAAAAAATTTCTAGATCATGATCATGTTTTTCTCTACAGGATTTGATGAGTTCAGTGCCGTGGATTTCAGCGGGACCTTCTACGTGAACACAGACAGGGATGATGACTATGCTGGTTTTGTGTTTGGATACCAGTCTAGCCGGCGTTTTTATGTAGTCATGTGGAAACAGATCACACAGACGTACTGGGAAGAAAAGCCGTCGAAGGCGTTTGGCATTTCTGGCGTTTCTCTGAAGGTGGTCAACTCCACCACAGGCACGGGGGAAATTCTACGCAATGCTTTATGGCACACAGGCAACACTAAGCATCAGGTGAAACTCTCTCTTCACTTTTATTAATCCTGACGGGTTTCACTTTTCGTGCCATTGCTAACAGTAAACTGTCCAATAAACAGCTTTGATTCATGGCAGCGCTATCTGTGTTGGTGGTTAAAATGATGGATGGTTTTACTGTGCATTGTTTAGGTGCGCACTCTATGGCATGACCCGAAGAATATTGGCTGGAAAGACTTCACTGCGTACCGCTGGCATCTTATCCACAGACCCAAGACTGGCTTCATAAGGTATACAACCAGACTTTATCTCGTTTTAACTATTCAATTCCAAGACACATATTTTAATTATTATAATATAATAAAATAAAATTATATGGAAATTAATATACAGTAGTAGTCAGAAAAAAAACGTAATTATTACCCCCCTGTTAATTCTTTCCCCAATTTTTGTTTAACAGAGAGAAGATTTTTTCAATACATATCTAATCATAATAGTTATAATAACTCATTTCTAATAACTGATTTATTTTATCTTTGTCATGATGACAGTAAATAATATTTTACTAGATATTTTTCCAGAAACCTCTATACAGCTTAAAGTGACATTCAAAGGCTTAACTAGGTTAATTAGGTTTACTAGGCAGGTTAGGGTAATTAGGTAAGTTATTGTATAACGATGGTTTGTTCTGTAGATTATCTAAAAAATTGCTTTAAGGGGCCAATAATTATTAACTTAAGATTGTTTTTAAAAAATTAAAACTGCTTTAATTCTAGCCGAAAAACAACAAATAAGACTTTCTCTAGAAGAAAAAAATATAATCAAACATGCTGTGAAAATGTATCATTTGGGAAATATTTAAAAAAGAAAAAAATCAAAGGGGTTAAATAATTCTGATTTCAACTGTATATGTTTTATTAAAAACAGTATCAATATAGTTTATAGAGAATGTATTACTTAAGTCTGTATCAGTAATATTGTTAATATAATGTATTATTTAATATCATAAACATTAGTTGATTGGAAAAGTTATTGGTAATATTGTATACAATGTGTAAATTGGTTTTGTAATACAATATAGTAAAAAAATAATATACAATGTGTATATTTTAAAATTACATTAATAGTAATTAGTCATTGTGTATGAAATATAATATATTATATGACATTAAATGTTTCTGATGCAAATTGAAACAATATTTTTTTTGTTTTTTTATTGATGCATATTAGTCAGAGAGCCACAGCACCGAATAAAAAACAATTAGCTCACATTTTCTTCAAGCAATACAATAATCTTGCATTTAGAACTGTATAAAAACACAAATAAAAGATAAATAAATATATAAAAATCATATAAATGTCATTTATCAAACAAATCCGTTTTCCCCCAGAGTTGTTGTGTATGAAGGCAAGCAGATCATGGCAGACTCAGGTCCTGTTTATGACAAGACGTTTGCAGGTGGACGACTCGGGTTATTTGTTTTCTCCCAGGAGGCCGTTTTCTTCTCTGACCTCAAATATGAATGCAGAGGTAGACTTCTTTACACAGCAAAAACTTTCAATATCCTGCCGTCTTTCTTTTTCCATTATTGAGATTTGTCTTTCTTTTTGCAGATAACTGAGTGTAAATGGGGAACAAAGTCTCCTGTCAAAGACTTTTTTGATCAAAGCAGAACTGAATCAATGTAGAGCCTCAGAAAAAGAAGATAAAAAGACTTTCTACAATACGGGGAAATTCGAATCGACAGAAAAGAAGTGAATTTACCTTCAGCTGGACATATATAAAGAGAAACAAATGTTTGGTCAGCATTGCTTTAGATTCACAGTTAATATTTGCACAAATAATCTTTGTAATGCCACAATAGCTATGTTTCCATCCAAAGATGCAAATTTAATTTTCATACAAAACTGAAATATTGCATGTAACATTTGCGAATAAATCAAAATTGTCACTTCCTGATAATCTAGTACCAATAATCAGAAAGAAAATTGGAAATTGCTGCATTCAACACAGGCTCATTGGAAGTATGTGTTCAGGGCTTTATTTTTGAGAACCGGTAAATATGTGCCCGCAGGTACATAATGGCTAAAAAAAACAAATGCCATGGTGTAGTACCTCTGACTGCTCAGTATGGATGGCTTTTTCAGTGTGACTGGTTGGCTCGGTAGCTCACCGCAAATGGCATCAGATTTGGAACAAGAACTGGACTGGACTAGACTGGGGTATGAGTCCAGCAAAGGACGGTTCCAGTAACCAGGTAAAATGAAACCAAAAAAGCAGTGTAAAATTCTGGTAAAAGTATGTGGCCGTAGCTTTTCTACTGTTCTAGTTTGTTTTTGAAAACACTGTCAGTTGGAGGAAGGGGTGGGTCGTTGCGTCAGTCGATATCAAGCTGATTTTATTTATTTATGTTATTTGGCAGGGACAGTGTACATTAATTAGCATTGATGGAAATGCACCAGAATTATGCCGCAGTCACACTAGAGTTTGAGCTTGCGAAATTCTGTCGTAAAAAGGGGATTAAACAAGATGATTTGACATTTTAAAAAATATATTTCTGTCCAGAGAGGTCATGTTTTGATCCTCAATTGGTCTTACGCAGCTAACTGATGTGATTTTGCAGGTCAGAGTTCACCAAGCTTTAACTTTGCAACGCAGTGAACTGCGAAACTTGTTGCACAAGCTAGCATTTCCAGTCTGATGCATTCGCGTGCATATGAATGGAAGTCTATGGGGAGAAAAGTGCAGTGTGACCGCAGCTTCAGCCAAAAGGCTATTTTTCATTAATTGTCCCTGGACAGATGTTAAAATTTTCGCCCTAAAAGCAATACAAAATTATAAAATGAATTAAGCATAACTAAAAAGCACTAAAATTGACATAATTTAATAGATCCTAATACATTTTATGTATATAAACAAAATAAACTAAAACACCAATGAATTATACACAAAAACCCGACCAGCTACTTTCTCATACGCACACGAGAAGAATGTTGAGATTGTCAGAAATGCACGCAGTCTATAGGGGAAATTTATGAAAAAATGGCATGTATAAGAAAACGTGCCCCTGTAATGTATTTTAGATTGTCAAGAATGTTCACAGCAACCTCTGGTGGATTTGTGAAAAACAAAAAATGCAAGCACATGTAGCCCAGGGTACATATTTATTGGTTGTCAAAAATGTAGCCCTGGGCATATATCTCCAGTGAGCCTGGGTTGGTTGTGTTAGGAGAAAAAATCTGGGCTTTTTTTCTTATTTTATAATTTTCTCAGAAGATGAAGAAGAAGCACAATAAATGCGTGGTGGTCCTGGGAGCTAATAATGCCAAACCACTTTGATGGCAGACTTTAGACTTTTTGGAATTTTAGAAGTAACAAAACAACATTTCAGATATTTTACAATGTGGTTGTTCCACTGGTTTGTCCCCCATGCCCAATTTTATCATCACATGATCTGTTAAAAGATCATGTCATGATCATAATCTGTCCGACAGCTAGCTCTCTACAACTCTTTCATGGTTGCCCACTTAAGCCAAGCAGGGCTGCGCCCGGTCAGTACCTGGATGGGATACCCAACACAATCTCACGGCAATTCGTAACTTTTTCATTTAGTGGCTAATTCGTATGAATTCGTACGATCTAATTCGTACAATTTAGTACAATTTGCTTATCCCCCAATGACGGTTGGGGTTAGGGGTGGGGTCAGGTGCCACGCCTCCTTTTTAAAATCGTACCATTTCGTACGACTGAACTCGTACGAATTCGTACGAATTAGCCACAAAACTGGCAAAACGTAAAATACTTACGTTTTCTCGTGAGATCAGGCTGGGATATCCACATGGGAAAGCTAGGTTGCTGCGGGAAGTGGTGTTAGTGAGACCAGAAGGGGGTGCTCAACCTGCGGTCTGTGTCTGTCCTAATGCCCCAATATTTTGATGGAGGCTCTATACTGCTCAGTGAGCGCTGTCTTTTGGATGAGACATTAAACCGAGGTCCTGACTCTCTGTAGTCGTTAAAAATCCCAGAATGTCCTTCGAAAAGGAGTAGGGGTTTAACCCCAGTCATCTCGGCCAAATTTAGCCATTGGCCTCTGTCCATCATGGCCTCTTAATCAACCCCATATCATAATTGGCTTCATCACTCTGTCTCCTCTCCACCAATCAGTATAGCGCTTTGAGTATCCAGAAAAGCACAATATAAATGTAAGAAATTATTATTATCATTCATTATTATTATTATTAAAACTAATTCACCCTTTTATAATGCACATGCTGGAAAATATTTAGTAATTCAGATTTCATAGTCAAAGATTTATCCTACTCAGTTTTGCATGTAAGTTTTTATGAACATTTTCAAAATTTACAGTATGCACTTCTTGGCATTTCTATTAAGCATTTTTTAATGTGATAATCCAAAGTGCACATAAAAATAGGTAGATGGAAACATAGCTAATGAGTCCTGCCATCTTGAAAAATAAACCTCAAGACTCTTTAGTGTTCAGGGTTTGTTGTTTTCATTTCAGTTCATTTATACGTCTTTCACGTTTGTCATTGGAGAACATTTTTGTTGCTTTTTATGTTTGTCGCAAGCGTTTAGGGGAGATGTATTATATTCAGACCTTTTCTATTGTCTACTGTAACTTATTTGTCTATTTTTCTGATTATTAGTTAGCATTTCTTTGTATTGTATCTCTTGCTGCCGAATTGTAAATACTTATTTATTTGTTTACATTGACACTTTTTTTTTTCAAATGAGGTATAAAAAGGATGTTTTTGCAAATGTTATCAGACAGAATTTTCGTCATTGGCCGTTACTGTGTCTACACAAAGTGAATGTGACAAGAAGAGCTGTAATGCAGTATATTTCCGAAGTATCAAGGTGTTTCTTTTATTAAATTACAGAGTGTGCATGAGTAACCAATGCTCGCCGTCAGTGACTCCAGCAGCAGAGACTTAATTTACTTGCTCTTATACTGTAGGTACAATGGTGACAAACCAGGGTTGTGATCTCAGTAACTCAGTTTCTAGGTCACTGTAACTTGGCTACAAAACCAGCTATTTTTCACTCTGCCATCAGCCTCTTTATATTCATTAGGAAGAAGTGCCATTTGGAAATGCCAGTGAGAGATTTAATTTAAATGTCACATTTTATGAGCTGTTAAGGTAATATTTACTATACTTTCATTTACAGATATTTCATGGAGCACTTCATTAGATTCATGGTTCATTTACAGTATGTGGCTGGCTGCTAATCACATTTTTAGGTATCATACTTGTTTGTATTAACTGACAAACAATTGTTTTTATATTTTCTCACTCCTATGCATTTTCAGTTGTGATGTAATAACTTCTGTCAATAAAATTGTATACACAGACTCGACTGATGATTTGTCAAACAGTTAAAAGGTAACCTAGGGTAAATATTTTAGGTCTATTTAGGTCTTTTTAGATTTGAAATATGGTAAACCATTTTCATACTCAGGACTTTGGGGGCAAAATAATTTGGGGCCCCTAAGCAATTCCAGGCATGGGGCCCCAGCATTGTTGAAAAAAATAATAAATTATTTATTTAAAATATAATACTTAAATGAACCTTTATGTTCCTAATGTAAAATTAAAAGAAATAAATTCACAAATAAGAAAAGCAAGTTCACAAACGATGTCGTATTTCTACTTTTCCCCCCCAAATGTTGTCAAATTTCGTACTCCTGCACACTCTACCCGCCTCTACTCTGATCGCTGGCAGACTGGTGTCACTAAAATCTCATGATTGTGAACAACAGCAAGATAATAATAAACCGTCTAAAAATTTTCTCTGGCCCCACCAAAAAAGAGCCATTCAGTTATTCAACACAACTTTTCTTTAAATACAACTGACAGTTTAAAAATGATTTTATTTAAATACATTACTGATTAGATTAACTAAAATTAATTGTTTAATGTGTGGTTTAGTTAAAAACTACAACAATTTTATGTTTTATGTTTGTTTAAAACCCACCAAAACTGCCCAATTTTAGAAACGGGCTCATTACATGAGTCTATACTAGTCAATATTTTTATTTTTCATTTATATGTAAACCTAGATTTAAAATGCCTTTCACTTCTTGCTCTTGCTTGATCCATCAACATAATAATCATATTAGCCTACGTTTTAATCAATTATGGCCTTTCAGTTGTTATTTTTTTAAATGTAGACTAAGAATGCTAAAGAGTATATGAAGGGGGTCCATGCAGGGGTGCATTTCTCGTCACAACACCGGGACTGCAGTCAGATCATGAAGCTATGTTGATCTTTCTTTCGAGGTGTTGAAATGAACAAAACAAATGAACAAAACAGTTGGCCTAATACAAAATATAGGATTAAAATATGGAAAAATTATCAGATGGTAATTTCGGTCAATTTTTTTCGGTCAACGGATAAACAGCACTCGGTAATATTTCAGCATGCTTTCACTTTCGTAGACATGAAACGCACATTTGCAGTAGAAATGACATCCTGCCCTACTTATCATTTTCTCTTCATATGGTCGTATATTTGGACACTACACAACCATAATACACTTTGATATAGCCTGGTTCGTTGCATCGTTTTATTTCATTACAATCGATCCGCTCAATCAAGCCAAGACCACCTCATTCTTGCGATCTTAGACCGATAGATTTGGAGCGGACTCGAGCATGATTGCGGAATTCACATATGCCACACGAACCGTGCTTACTGGGCAAACGAGATAGATTCCAAAACAAATGTCTGGGCATGAAAGCACGCAATTAACAAACAGTCGCAGCCAAATAAAATTTTAGTAATAAAGCAACACTGTCCCCCATAGGGCCAGTAACCATTTTGTATACTATCCCGAACATCTCGCAGGCTGGCCCCGGGCCAGCGGGCAGTCCTTATTGTTGAGCCCTGCTAACACTCACTGTATTTTAGCAGTAAAAAACTACGATATAGAATATTTAGCTGAAGCTTGACCACAAAATTAAATCGCAAATCAAATTGAAATCGCAATATCTTTTTAAAAAATCCCAATTAGATATTTTCCCCAAATTGCATAACCCTAATGGAAAGACAGTTCACCTAAAGCCCTTGGGCTGCCTGGCTGAAATTGAAAAGTATGCGTGCATATAGCCCATTCAAAAACGTAATTTGAAGCAAGGATTACTAGAAAAACTTTCAAATAATCAAACCATGTCCAAGTTAGATAGTGTTTTTCCTCCATCTCGTGATCCTCCAGGCTCTTTTTTTGGAGCTTTTAGGGGGAAAACAGCACTTGGTAGAATTAAGTCAGCATGATGTCCTCCAGCAATTCACATCCCTAAAAGAGTGCTCACATTTCACTGCTTTCAGATGCTGCAGAATACTCTGCAAAGTTCTGTAGGTTGATGTGGTAAAAAAACGCAATCGTTTACGTGAAGCTGACACAATTAGGGGGTAATTAAGGGGAATGCTGTAATGACAGGGACACATAGCAACAGCAAAACAGACACGGAGACACGCAGTTGAGGCATTTAGAGGAGATCCTGTTTTACTTCATGTGGAGAGTCTGTGGTTCTTAAAAGCAGACCATAACAGAGAACATCATGCAGTATGTCATCCTTGTACTTGATGCTCGTGAATGACACTTTCTAATGCTTGCATGTTGTGTTAGCGTTATTTAGTAGGCCTATAAACAGATCCAGCTGTGCTCACGGTACACTGCAAACTTAATCAAACAGACTGCAATATGAAGTTAAGGCTTGTGCCGTAATTTTCATGCAGAGGAAGCTGAGCAGAGTCTCCTGAGAAGATATCAGACATAGTTCTTGTTCCAAGGACAGGCACAGAACAACAAGAGGGGAACAGGGAGATCTCAGAGGAAGATTCTTAGAAGTTATTAAGTCTCTGTGTCTGGAAAGTACTGTTAAAACGACAGATTTTGCAATATTTTGAACGATTGAAGCACGTAATAAAATAAAAGTCTAGGTACTGCAGCCTACCACAGAGTTCTTTACCATTTTGTACAACACCGCGTCAAGGTCTATTTATTTCTGATTAGCAATGTCTCTTTTATTTTAAATAATAATTGAGTGGTATAAACATAATACACAGAAGGAGATATAAAAACTCAATCCAAACCCATTTTATGGCATGAGATGTTCTTTCTTATAGCTTTCGTATTGCTGATTTTGTCAAGTGAAAGCTGTAAATCTGATAACGTTTTGGGATTGGCTTTGAATCTGAGGCATCTTGCCTTGACTGTTCATGTAAATAAATTTTAAAGGATAACAGCATTCTTTATTACCAGATTCATCATTTTGAAAAGGAATTGTAATGACAGAGGTATATAAATAATGTGATAAAATGAAAGAAATAAAGTAGATGAAATTTATGAAACAATATAAAGACATTCCAAAAGTAAGGGGGTTCCTCTCCTTCTAGACAAAATAGTACAGTGGGCAAAATCATTATTAAATGTACTTTACCTATTCAGGGTTAATACTAATTAAAGAATGTGTGTGTGTGCATGCATCTGTATACAGCGATTAAAGTAAATTCAATTCATCTTTATTTCTATAGCGCTTTTACAATGTATATTGCGTAGATTATGATTGTGTGAAACAGTGTTAGTCCAGTTTTCGG